AGAGTACAGTATGTATGTGTGTGTGTGTGTGTGTGTGTGTGTGTGTGTGTGTGTGTGTGTGTGTGTGTGTGTGTGTGTGTGTGTGTGTGTGTGTAAATATATATACCGTATGAATGTGTGTGCAGATTCCCCCGTGTTGTTTTCTCTAATGTGTAGTTTCAGGATATTAAGAATATTATTGAAGTTGGGGAACCCCATAAAATATAGGACAACTTAATAACTAATAAAGTGAACATTGTTTATTGTTTGGACTAATTTACAGGGTTTCAGTTTAGGCCATAGTACTAGAAATGAGGTCACAGTACTAGAAATGATGTCAATTGATATTGTCATGGTCGGTGTTTGTTTTTCTGTTTTAGGGTTTACTTTTTATATTTATTTCTTGTGGTATTTGCTTCCTGTTTGACCCGTCACAGCTGTAGCCCCTCCCTCATCAGCCTTCAGTTCTTCCTCAGTGGAGCATTGTGCGTTACTCATGACACGTCTGCTGATGCTTCCTGCCTCTTCAAGACTCATCCTTAACTTGTGTAATAGTTTCTGCTGCCACGTTAGCCTTTGTTTTAGTTCTGATAAAGTTTCTTTCATTTTATCAGCTTGTATCAAGTCTGCATTCCTGGGTCCAAACCCTCCTAAAACTTTGACACATTGGCCACCTTCCCTAACCTCTGTGCCACCACTCCACATTTCTAACCAAATGCTTTCAGGAATGATGATATTGTTACACAAATGAGAAAATGCTCATTTTTGACAATAAATGTGTGTTTAAGCAACAACTGAGTTTTAAAATGTTGATGGCATGAAACATATTTTATCCCAAGCAATTTACTTTTATTTTATTCTTGTATCTTATCAGTTATTCAGCTCACTGCAACTAAAAAAAGAAACCCATTCACAACATGGTGATCATCAACATCACATGTTATTTCACCTCATCCATTAAATGGCTGTTATTAGTTGTTATCATCCCCATACTTAGCGGTCAGACTGCCCCTCCTCTACCTCCTAGTAGGTTTAAAGGTATGTTGTTATTGCTGATAATATGGTCACGTGGTTAAGTTGACTCAAGGGTCTTGGGGTTACGTTTTATACGGGTCTGGGGGTTAGGTTTAGGGTCAGGGTTAGGTTAAGGTTCAAGGGTAAGGGTGTTAAGTTTAGGGTCAGTGGTCTGGGTCAGGTGTAAGGTTAGGTTTAGGAAAAGGGTTACATAAAGCTAACTAAAATACACTTCCGGTGTTACACGTGAGCCGCGATGCATATTATCACCCATAAAAAGGTAACTTTAAACCTACTAGGAGGTAGGAGGGAACAGACTGAACGCTACCCATGGGGATAACAACAACTCTAACGTCCATTTAATGGACTGAGAACATCCGAAGCCGCAGGTTGTTTGATTTTAGAAACTTTTAACCACTGAATTACACGGTGAACAGCAGAAAGCCGGTGAATGTGTTGTAGTTCATTGCATCGTCGTAGACGATCCTGTTTGGCTGCAGCTCCACGTACACGGTGTCTCCCACTTTCAGAGGGATTACCACCGCGTTGCTGCCCATGTCGTTGCTGTCGGACCCGTTGGTGTCCCAGACCGACGTTAACCTTTCACTGTTCTTCATCAGGCTCACAACTGAGTTGGGAGTTTGAGCGAGGTTGTTGAACATGGAGAATCGAAAGAAGTACATCCCATTGACCATCGCTGTGAAAATCCCTGTAAAAACAAGGAATATCAGGAGAAATGTAAAAAATGCACCCTATATTTTTACACCTATCTTTTATGTGTTCTACCTGTTTTTGTATCGAACATACCAGTTGCTGGATTGTAGCTATTGCCAGTGTTGGAGAAAACCTTTTTATACTTGAGTGGAGTGGCAGTGCTAAAAGGTCCAGTGTCTCCATGGCCAGAGTCCAAGAGAGCTGCAGAAAAAGCCACCTGAGGTTTGTCTGAAACATCAAACGCATCACAGATTTAAAAAATACACAACAAAAAAAATCATTTTTAACAACGTTCTCCATGAAAATATCTTACCTGCAGCGAGGCTTCGTAGCTCCAGGACTTCTTTTTCAGTTTTTTGAAGGCTTGTTTCCAGAAATGTTATTTTGTTTTCCATATTTGCAATTTTCTCCACCAGCACTCCCATTTTCTCACTCATCGACATGAGGGAACAGATGTTAGAACAGCTGGTTGATCCTGAGTGCTGAGAACCTTTGTCATTGTTTTCATTGGGTTCAGTTTCACGGCAGAAGGTTAAAGCAAGAATCAGGACGGCGAGCGTCTTCATCCTTCGTCTTTTATTGAGTTTATGCGAGAACTTTCTTTTTGTATGGAACCTGCCTTGAAAGCTTATGCAAAACAGGAAAAACCAGTTTCAGGAAAACATCCATTTTAAAGGACCAGCACACTCCTTATCATTGTTGATGTCCCGTTCACAGAACTGGGAACTCCCACCAACCAGTAGGTGGTTAATTATAAACCAGGGTGATCCTGGCTGAACGGGAAACGAAACATCTTTGACCCAGACTGAACAAACCCAAGTTTTGCTTTACTTCAAAAGTTATCAAAAGAGCTTTAAGAGTATTTAGGAGGAAAAACCTTTCACTGGAAATACAGATGATTATAGAAACTGATTAAAATGAATGAACTGATGAAGTTTATACGATGACCAAGCACCATGTTTTGTACAGTGTAGTGGTACAACATGTTAGTGTCCTCTGCTGACCTTCACACCATCAGTTTTGGTTAAACCTTCAAATGAGGAATTGCAAAACTGTGAATGTGACTCAGCTACTACCACAACAAACGTTAGCTCAGCTGTGGTGAAAGTGGCTGAGTTATTTCGTATAATGAGCTGTGGTGGTCATCCTGACCTGGCCTGACAAAAATTAATTAATCAGTTGTAAATGCACATTCAAGAAATGCTTTATGCAGTTTCATTAAAATGTTGCTAAATTTGTCTGGTGGTGGTTCTTGGGGGACTTTAGTACCAGACAAACATCCTCACTGGTCAAAACACAATACATATCAATGTAAAAAGACTTTTAGCAAATTAATTAAAAAAGATAAGAACTTTATTGATCCTGCAGGAAATTGTTGTGCCAAGGATTCAATACAAAGGGTCACGCACAAGGAATTAAACAATATATAAAAATAACAGAGAATATAAAAATAGTACCAACAAATAAGGTGCAAAACAGGTTCGTTGTGGACAGAAATATTAAAATGTTTATTATAGTGCAGGATTAATAGTGTGAACGTTTATCAAGCATTCACACTATTGTCATCCATTTTTCTTCTCAGCATCTTTCTCGTTCCACAATTTTTATGCTATTTCAACAAATCATGCATCAACATGTTCAGCTCTTTCAGGAGAAGGGTGCTATGACTTTTGGTATCGGTGCAACTTTAGCTTTTTGAAAGCCTTTTCCACCAGTTTTATTTCTCATTGAATCTCCTTCAAATCTTTAGATGTGTTTACAACTTTTTACTGCTCCTTTCACATTTTGTTCTGCTTCAGCTCCTTTCAGCTTCCTTGTACAAAGTTAAACTTTTTTCAGCTACTTTCAGTTGTTTTTTTTTCAGCTGTTTTGTGCTCCTTTCTGATTTTTTCTAACGCCAACATTTTTGTGCTTCAAACTTCTTTCTGTTAATTTCAGATTATTATGCTCATCGCAGCTTATTTCTGCTAGTTTCATTGTTTTCTTTTATTTCAGCTACTATTTAGCGGTTTAAGCTAATTTTAGCTTTTTCAGCTAATTCCAAAATTTTGCTCTCATTTGAACCTTTTTCTTCTTAATTTAGCAAAATACTGCCTCTCTCCACTTCCTTCTTATAATTTCAGCTTCTTTCTGATTTTTAACTCTCTTTCATCAGATTTTTTAAGATAATTTCCACTTTTTTCTTCTCATTTCTGCTTCTTTCAGTCTAATTGGGCAAACACTTTATGCTTTCTTCTGTTAATTTAAGCTTGTTCTACCTTTTCAGGTAGCTTTTTAGCCATTTAGCTGACTGAAGCTGTTTTCAGATTAATACACATCTTTCCTAGCAATTTCTGCTACTTTCAGCCTAATTAACTTCTTTCTGCTAGTTTCAGCTTTTTCTGCTATTTCAGCTATTTAACTGTTGTATGCTAATTTTAGCTTTTGCAGCCAATTTCACTTTTTTTTAGCTCATTTAAGCTTTTTTTTTTTTTGCTTCTTTCTGGTAGTTTAACTTATTTCTGTCTTTTCAGCTATTTCTGCCAATTTCAGCTTTTTTTTAGCTCATTTCCTAATTTTTGTGCTTTCTGCGTATTTAAACCTAATTCAGGCTGAATTATTCAGCAAACGTGTTCTTTGCTTTCTTCTGCTAATGGTTTGCCCTTACAGTTCAGCTACATTTTAGCATGCTTTTTTAAACCTAGTTTTAGCTGTTTTTCAGCAAGTTCTTCAATAAGCAATCACTGCATTTTTGCAGGAAATATAATTTCTCTAGTTTATGTTGTCCTCTGTGTAGAAAGGGGAGGAGTTGAAAAGTTTGATAGGTACAGGGAGGAAGGACTTCCTGTGGAGCACCTCCATGGCCTCAGTCACGACTGAAGGTGCTGCAGTGAGAGGACAATACGACAAAAACAGTTCTGCTATCATGAAACTATTAAAACAGATTTCTGAATTCCTTCATTGTATTTTGCATTAAAGCTGAAAAGACTCATTGTTTAATAGGAGTTCAAATAAAAACAGAAGATTGCAAAAGAACAGATTTCCTGCTGAAAAGCTTGGGACAAATTAACTTATTTTAATTACGGTCTATTGCTGCACCTGTAAGTCAGCTGATCTGTGTGAAGTGGTGATCAGCCGTCATGCTGCTTAAAACTCCTAAACTTGACTATTGAAAATATAAACCGAGCATTGCTTCTTAAATGTTCAACTAGAAGACACCGACATGTGCAATCCAATACCTCGCTAGTTTGTCGCAGTAAACTTGCACACTATGCAAACGTCTGACATTTTTACTTTGATCCACTATTCCAGGCATCAGTTCACTCAAAAATGCAGCAATAACTGCAATAAATGCCGCCGCTCGACCTTTAAGTTCAAACTCTTGAAAACAGACTTTCAAAGTAAAATCGGCACCACTTGCCTTGAAGTGTTTCTCAGAAGGACCTTGGTGTTTTCAGATGAAAGGGAGAGAGGAGTGTCGGCTGCAGCTCAAGGGTTTTGGTCCTTGTGCAACTATTCTCTGAAGTTTTTATTTTTATGATAACAATGAGGAAGCAATTACACATTGTATGATCATCTTCATTATAAATAAATATATGATCATCTTCATTATAAATCTTTACCAAAGTCAGTTCTTGTTCATCTTTAGGTGCATTAACAAAACGCTCATTATCTCACAAAACGTTTATTAGTGTAAAACAAGATTTAAAAAAACAGTACATTCATTTTGTTCCATTTAATAAATATACATTTAAAATAAATGAGTTTCTGGTTGATGCAAACAGTAAATAGTTTCAGTATGGAAGTGCAAACGGGAGGAGCGTCGGTCACGTTCTGCTGCTAGTTTCGGCAGCGTTAACGGTTCAAAGTTCAATAAAGTTTGGACGTCATGGAGGTCAGAAGGGGTTGTGCACCGCCGCGCTCCTCCTGGACGATGGCTCGACTCTGTAACGCGCCGCAGCGCGAGACTCAAAGGCACCGACCATTTGCTTCACCACTTGGTCGAAGAACACGCAGGCGAGCTGCGAGTGCAGCAGAGACCTGAACTCAAATGAGACCTAAAACAAAAACACACTTTAAATCAGTTGGCCAGATATTTTCCACAGGTTGGTTAGAAATCACTCAAGACATCTTAGTGGGGTAACTGTGTTTTTAATAGTGTGAATGTTTTATGAAGCATTCACACTATTGTGATCCATTTTTCTTATGGACGTTTTTCGCCATCGCTCTTGTGCCGCACATTTCAACAAATCATAAAATCAAAATGTTCAGCTCGTCCAGGACCTGCTGTGACTTTTGGGATTAGTGCAACTTTAGCTTTTTGAAATATTTAGCCTTTTCTGCCATTCATTTCCCCTCATAGCAAATGAATCAAGCTCATTTTCCATCCTTCAAATCTTTAGATCTGTTTACAACCTTTTACTGCTCCTTTCATGTTGTTCCGGTTCAGCTTCCTTATTAAAAATAATAATAATTCTGCCGTTTTCAGATTCTTTCTAAACCACAACATTTTTGTGCTTCTTCTTCTTTGTGCTAGTTTCAGCTTGTTATGCTCCTTGCAGCTTATTTCGACAAGTTTCAGGTCTTTCTACTATTTTAGCTACCATTTAGCATTTTATGCTAATTTAAACCTTTTCAGCTAAATCCACGTTTTGCACTCATTTAAACTTTTTTCAGCCAAATTCAGCAAAAATGTGCTCTCTCCACTTCCTTCTTGTAATTTCAGCTTCTTTCAGCTTTTTAGCTACTTTCTAGCAGGTTTTTTTTTTCAAATTTCAGCTTTTTCCCCAGATAATTTTCACTTTGTGCTCGTTTCTGCTTTTTTTCAGCAAATATGTTCTTCCTGCTTTCTTCTGCTAATTTAAGCTTGCTCTTCTTTTTCAGCTACCTTTATAGCATTTTTAGCTCATTTCAGCCGTTTTCAGACAAATTCAAAGTTGTCCATGGTATTTTCTGCTACTTTCAGCTTGTTATGCTCCTTTCAGCTTTTTTCTGCCAATTAAGCTTCTTCTGCTATTTCACCTACTATTTAGCTGTTCTGTGTTAAATTTGCCGTTTCAGCTATTTCCACATTTTTTTCCCAGATCATTTCAGCTCCTTCCACTTCCTTCTGGTAGTTTAACCTATTAAGACCCGAACTCTTGCATATGTACATGTCAGGTCCTAGGAGTTTAAGCTTCTTTCTGCCTTTCAGCTAATTTTCAGCTTTTTTTTGTTGTTGTCTGTTGCTAAATTCAGCTTTCTTTAGCTAAGTGCCTAATTTTTGCTTTCGTTTCTGCTTATTGAAACCAAATTCAGCAAATATGTTTTCTTTCTGCTTTCTTCTGCTAACTTAGGCTTATTCTTCCTTTTCAGCTACATTTCAGCATGGTTTTAGCTCATTTAAGCAGTTTTTCAGCACATTCAGCAATAAGCATTCACATTGCATTTTTGCAGGACATGCATTTTCTCTAGTTCCTCTTTGATGTTTAAGCGTCACTTCTTTTGCGTGTTCAGACGTGATAAAACGGACAGCAGCTCCTTCTCAGCGGCTTCAGTGAACCAGTTCCTGGCTAACCGCGGATCATCTGAGCCAGCTTTAATGTCAAACAGCGTTCCAGCAGCTCACGGCTATTTCCATCCTTAAAGGACACCATCATGCTGCTGAAGACTAAATTTAGAGCCTAATGAGATTTATTTAACTCTTCCTCCGAGTCACTAATCCTTTCACATCAGCACAGAACTTACAATTAATTCCTCTTCAAGAAAGCAACCTGATCTCTGCAGTTTTGTCCTTTAAATCAGTGAGATGGTTAACGTTGCAGATTTATTATAAGTTAGAACAATTACTTGTTGTTTCTTTATATTATTGCTGAAAAAAAAAAACTCTATTAAACTCAGCTCTAGACATTTTATTTTACCTAAAAGAAACTTACAAAGAAATCCACTTTGCATGAACCTGATGGGTCTTTGGCTCCAGGGGTAAACCTCCATATTGTTTCGAGATGGCTGAAGAGCGATCCGTCAGTGCACACGGCCTGTTTCAAAACAAATCATGCATCACCCTCTGGCGCCAAGACAAACTTTAATCCTAATTCTCTGCAAAAACACAGAAAAACTAAAAACATGCATCAACTGAAAGAAGAAAATACGGCTGCTTTAATATTTTCACTCCAAAGGGCTGCTGACACGTCACATTTAATCAAGATCATCAGAACTCAAACTAAAAAAGGACAAGCTCGAAGAGTTTCTTTAAGAGAAACTATTTTAGAACGTAGGGGCTGTATCAGTAATGGAATGGTTGATTTCATGGATGTGGCAGGTGAAGAACTTACTCTGATTTGGTGGTTTGGCACAAAGGTCAGCTCAGAGGTATATTGCTCAGTGATGGGAGGGAAACCTATTTCCAGTTCTGCCCGCATGGCGCCGTTTGGTCCCGTCATCATCCGGGACTTTTTGCACCAGGGAACAAAATGCTGGTACTCGTCCACGTTGGCCACCACGGTGTAGATCTGTTCTGGAGCGAAGCTGAGCGCACACAGGGAGACGACAACTTGAGGGTCATAAAGTTCACACTTGTCCTGCATCCTGACCATAAGGAGGCTCTTACTGCAACGTCCGGCGCTCGCAGTACTCCATCCTGCGGGTGCTGATGGGAACAGCCAGGCTGATGAAGCTGCGGCTGGGTGTCTCCATGGGGGGGGGGGGCAGGATGGAGCTGAAGGCTCCTCCTCTGAGCCACAGTCCCACAAGATCCCATGTGTCTACTGAGAAAATACATTCATATTATATAGAAATGTGTATGAAGACAACTCGGTATGAAGATGCCTTTAACGTATAGTACAAAAGTGCTCTTGTTACACTTTTCTTTAAGCAAAATATCTGGATCGATAGGTGATTGATCTTGGAAACCCCCGAGAGGAAATGACCTGATTAAAGTGGGGTTGTACACAGGAAGTAGTTGTGCTCTCAGCTGATAACTTCCGACTCACCTGGACAGAGTTCTTCTCGTGTTTCTCTGAGCTGCTCTCAGGAAATGAACGTCCAGCAGCGCCTTGAACAGACGACAGCTCGTGTTGTTGCTCATCGTGAAGTTTACTGAGAAACCTCCACGCGGACTCCACTTTAAAGCCGCCACTTGCACCGAGCGGGGAGAAGTTGCGCGACGCGCCATATAAGGAGATACATGTTACGTAACGAGTTGCGTCATCGGATCTGACCAATTACAAGACTCGTGGGCGATTTAAACACAAACATGAAATCAGTGATTTACTTTTACTTAATAATGTATTAAATATAATAATATTATATTTAATTTGGTCTGTCAGTCTCCAAAGAGTGCAGGTCAGAAAAAAAAAGTTTTATTTTTATTTCCTGTTTGAAGAGAAGTTAAGCAAATCAAACTATTTATTTTCTCAAAAGTGCGACATTTTAAACATTTTACAGGCTTAATTAAATTGATTAAAATGAGTGGGATCAAATTATATTCAAATGTGCATTAAATCAGTTAAGAGTCATTCTAGAAGCGATAATAATAATAATGATGTAAGACTTGTTAAATTGGCAGCACGGTGGCACAACTGGTAGAGCTGCTGCCTCTCAGCAAGAAGGTCCTTGGTTCAAACCCCAGTCCGGGGGCCTTTCTGGGTGGAGTTTGCATGTTCTCTCCGTGCATGCGTGGGTTTTCTCCGGGTACTCCGGTTTCCTCCCACAGACCAAAAACATGCATGTTAGGCTGATTGGTAACTCTAAATTGTCCCTAGGTGTGAGTGAGAGAATGAATGTCTCGTTTGTCTCGTTTGTCTCTATGTGTCCCTGTGATGGACTTGCGACCCGTCCAGGGTGTACCCTGCCCCTCGCACAGTGATTGCTGGACATGGGCACCAGCGACCCCCGTGACCCAAAATGGAATAAGCAGGTAAAGATAATGGATGGATGGATGGATGGATGGATGGATGGATGGATGGATGGACTTGTTAAATTGATGATGAACTAATAGCAGTTTGAACACTCTCAGACATTTTTTAGGTTTTCCAGCAAGAGCCATAAAAAGAAAACGATGCTTCGCCGTGGGTTCTAACTTACGAGTTAAACCATATATTTTCCACAAACCTCTTTATAAGTTTTAAATAAAGACTTTGTGTGTTTGACGACCAAAGGTTTGGCAACCAGGGATGTAAAAACATTTTCACTAGTGTTGTTGCGTCCAGAAAGTTCGAGCTCTGGACGTGACGAACTTGGACTTTGATGCAACAGAGGTGTTGACGTCACAACGCTGACCTTTGTAATGGTTAAACCAGAGGTGAAACGAAGAAGAGGCTGTGTGCTAACAGCCAAACTGGTGTGTGCTGGATCCAAACACGGATCCTCAGAAAGGAATTAGAGCGCCTGATCTGGGACGGATGTAAAAGCCTTAATCAGCCCTGTGGAGATACGTACAAACAAGATAACCTGCCTCGGTGTTGCAGGAGAACTCGCTCATCCTTTAACTAAACGCCACAAAGACGCCGGGAGCTGTTCCAACTGGATCTCGGCTCCTTCAGATTTTATTCCTCGACATTTTAAACAGAGAGTGAGTTGATCAAACCTGTTTCCTGTAACAATTCAGTTCACACAAGAAAAACTTACTTTATTTAGATTTGACACCTTTTTTAGATTTCTATTAAGACTGAAGATTTGAGTGAAGCTCTGCTGATGTTAAATTAAAACTTGTGTTGGTAGAGTTCTTGTCCCAGGACCCGCACCAGTTTCACTGTTTTATTAGAAAACAACAGCGTCATGTCTACCAATGACTTCCTGCACAGAATGCACGAGATTTATTTTCTAATCCAGATAAACTTTACCATGACAAGAAATTAAAAGATATCCATCCATCCATTATCTTTTACCCGCTTCTCCATTTTCGGGTCGCTGGGGTCACTGGTGCCCAGTCATTGTGCGAGAGGCAGGTGGACCAGTCACACTCTAGGGACAATTTAGAGTTACCAGTCAGCCTAACTTGCATGTTTTTGGTCTGTGGGAGGAAACTGGGGTACCTGGAGAACATGCAATCTCCACCCAGAATGGACCCTGGGCTGGGATTTGATCCGGCGACCTTCTTGCTAAGAGGCGGCAGCTCTACCAACTGCTCCACCATGCCACCAATTTAAAAGCTATTCATAATTATATATCATTTATTTATTTATTGTACTCTATTAATCCCCATTGGGGAAATTAATTATCTGCATTTTTCCCATTGCACATGTGAGCACACCTGTAAAGCAGTGGGCTGCCATCCAAGGCACCTGGGGAGCAGCTGGGGGCGGGGCCTTAAAGGATGAGCTCATGGGCACAGAGTTGGTCAAGTGAAGGTGGAGGCAGCTGTGGGTGTTTCACCTTTTCCACCTTGATGTTGTCGGTCCAGGGAGTTGAACCACGGCCCTCTGATCCAAGGTCCAGCCTCTCTAACCACTGCACCACCACTCCCACTAACAATTTCTTATTGTTTATTAAGAATGCACAGTAAGAACAGAGAAATAATTACTTGTAAATGAAATACTTTCAAACAAACCTGTTAGAATAAGATAAGATAGAACTTTATTGATCCCACAGGAAATTGTCATTTATGATCAGATTTAAAGTCAAATATTTAAAAAAATACTACTAAAGTACACTATTTCATTCTTTCTTACAACATGCAGAAGGCATTTCAAGACAATTTGGTTAATGTTTAAATGTTTGTTTAACACCTTGTTTTTGTGGAAAGTATTTTTAGGGTGCATTTTTCAGCAAGTCAACAACAAAAAGACGATGTTATTTTTATATAAGCAAGCCAAAATTCACAGACGTACTTTTTAAACATTTCCACTTAAACAATATACATAAGAAATCGTAGAAAAACAGCAATACCAGAGGATTATGCAAACAGGGAGCGAGCTAGACGAATGCAGACACCGAGGGCATGACTCAAAAGGCAAATATTTCCCCAACAATGATAAGCGATGCACAGAAATAAAGCATTGAGCCATTCCATTTTGTTGCCCATGAGCTAAAATTAGCAGAGCTAACGTTAATCTTTACACAGAAACCCTAAGATGAAGTGGTAGCAACGAGCGCTTGAAATCATTGTTCCTCGTCTGTAAAAATGATCTTGCCCATGTCTCTGATGTATTGTGTTCCATCTGGATGTGCGGCCTTGAGCTCGAGAGGCGGCACGCTGCTGTTGGTGAAGTACCTGAAGGCCGGGCTGGGTGACTGGATGGCAGCTAGAAACACCTGCAGGACACGAACGAACACAGGAGCACATCGCTTTCTTCTATCAGACCTTGGACATGACGGAGGAAACTATTTTTATCAGTAATATTTCTGGACATACATGAGTTATTTATGAACGTTTATGAAGCATTCACACTCTTGTGATTCGTACGTTTTTCAGCATCTTTCTCGTTGCACAGTTTTTGTGCTATTTCAACAAATCATAAATCAAAACGTTCGGCTCGTTCAGGGCAATCCTGCTATGACTTTTGATATTGGTGCAACTTTAGCTTTTTGAAATATTTTGCCTTTTCGGCCATTTTTTCCCCATAGAAAAAGAATTGAGCTCATTTTCCATCCTTCAAATCTTTAGCTCTGTTTACAATCTTTTACTGCTCCTTTCACATTTTGTTCTGGTTCAGCTTCTTTCAGCTTCCTTGTTCAAATTTTAAAGTTTTTTTTTCAGCTAATTCAGCTGTGTTTTCAGCTGTTTTGTGCTCCTTTTAGATTCTTTCTGCTAACTACAACATTTTTGTGCTTCTAACTTTGTTCTGATAGTTTCAGCTTGTTTTGCTCCTTTCATCTTATTTCTGCTAGTTTCACCTTTTTCTTTTATTTCAGCTACTATTTAGCTGTTTTTATACAAATTTTAACATTTTCAGCTAATCCCACATTTTTTGCAGTCGTATCAACTTTTTTAAGCTTAATTCAGCAAACATGTGCTCTCTCCACTTCCTTCAGGCAATTTAAGCTTCTTTCTGTCTTTGTGGCTATTTTCAGCTGTTTTTTTTTGTTTGTTGTTGTGTTAATTTCAGCTTTTTTCAGATAATTTCTACTTTTTTGTGCTAATTTTTGCTCCTTTCATCTTATTTCTGCTAGTTTCACCTTTTTCTTCTATTTCAGCTAATATTTAGCTGTTTTTATACAAATTTTAACATTTTCAGCTAATCCCACATTTTTTGAGTCGTATCAACTTTTTTAAGCTTAATTCAGCAAGCATGTGCTCTCTCCACTTCCTTCAGGCAATTTAAGCTTCTTTCTGACTTTGTGGCTATTTTCAGCTGTTTTTTTTTTTTTTGTCGTGTTAATTTCAGCTTTTTTCAGATAATTTCTACTTTTTTGTGCTAATTTCTGCTTCTTTCAGCCTAACTGAGCAAACATTCTTTCTTCTACTAATTTAAGCTTGTTCTACATTTTAAGCTTCCTTTTTAGCTTTTCAGCTACTTTCAGCTGTTTTCAGATAAATTCAAGTTTTTTGTGGTAATTTCTGCTACTTTCAGCTTAAATAACTTATTTCTTCTCATGTCAGCTTTTTTCTGCTAGTTTCAGCATGTTCTGTTATTTCAGCTACTATTTAGCTGATTTTTTTTTTTTTTACTAATTTCAGCTTTTGTAGCTAATTTCCTAATTGTGCTAATTTCTGCTTGTTTAAACCTACTTTGACAAATATGTGTTATTTCTGCTTTCTTCTGCTAGTTTGGGCCTGTTTTTCCATTTCAGGTACAATTCAGCAAGTTTTTAGCTAGTTTCAGCTGTTTTTCTGCAAATTCTTCAGCAATAAGCCTTCACATTGCATTTTCACAGGAAATGTAATTGCTCTAGTTTTGTTTATGTTTCTATTAGAAAGTAGATTACTTTAGATCTAGATCTACTGGAAAAAAAATAGACATTTACGCTGAAGTATTTTAGCTCATGCACTTCAAACCTTCTGAGTATTGCTACACAACACAGGTGAAGTTATGTACGCTACACACCTTCACGATGTCTTCAGTGTCCTGAGCAGCATTCTGGAAAACACTGCTGCAGTGTTGCAGGTATTTTTCATACAGACTGAGTGTTTGGGCATCCACCTGTTGGAGAGATGGATCCCCAAGCTCCGCCTTCTGCAGGTTAACCAGGAAGTCGGTGTCGACTGGACCACACTCAATCAGAGTCACACTACCAATAAAACCGTTTACTTATTAGTGGCATTTACTGTGTGTCATAGATAAAGATACGTTTTTAAAACAACTTACTGGATATTGAAGTGTTGCAGAAGGACAGCCAGACACTCGCACGCTCCCTCGATTGCAAATTTGCTGGCGCAGTAGACCTCATTAAAGGGCAGACCTTTGAAAGCATTCAAATGGATTGTTTTGGAAAATCCATGTTCACTAAAGTCAGCCAAAAGGATTTCTATCAAAATACTAAATTTTAGTTTTAGCCGTTTGAGATTTTGTTATCCTTTGTTTATCTCACCGTGAAGTCCTCCGGTGCTGCCGGTGACCAGAATGTGTCCCTGGCCCTGCGCTTTCATCTCTGACAAGAAGGCCTGAATGGTCTGAATGGTCCCGAAGAGGTTGACTTCCAGAATATGTCTCATTGAATCCAAAGACTGCAGCTCCAGTGGCCCCATCAAGCCCACACCAGCGTTACACACTAAAAATAATGAGAAAGTGTCACATCGGCACCCAACAGTTGCATCCGTTTCGGCCTAATCCGGTTTGAGCATACCCAGAATGTCCACTCGTCTCTCCACAATCCTGTCTCTAGCCTTCAGGATGGACTGCTGCTCAGTCACGTCCATTTGAAGTATTTCTAAGGTGTCCTGGTGCAGGCCCTTCACACACTCTAACAGACGTTCCTTCTTGGCCAAGTTCCTCATTGTGGCGTAGACTAAACAGAATGCAGCACTTAGTGGCACGTTGTTCACATGTTGGACTAAAACAGACGAAGTCTTTGTGTCTTAATGACAAAACTTTGAACCACTCCTAAATTTCTAAGATATCATAAGCATCATGACTGAACGCTGCGGTTACCTTTGAATGTCTTGTTGGGGTCAGAGGCCAACCGGACAGCCAAACTGAGACCAATCCCAGAAGAGCAGCCCGTGATCAGCACCACCTTCTTCTCCATGGAGCTTTGCTCAACAGCGTTAGAAGAGAAGAAAGCAGCAGGAGCGAAGTCCAATCAGCACGAAATGAGCCGGATGATGTGGATGGAAACTTATGAAAACCCTCCTCAGATTATCACAAGGCCCCGTAATCCTGAACATCTGCCTGTTATCGGCCACCTGGAGTCGCTCCGTTGTTTTCATGCCCTTGCTGAAGAATGTCCTCCGGTTGTTTTGGGAGGGAGATGTGGGAAAGTGCTTTTAGCTTTGGGCTGGATTTTTAAAACTTCAAGCAACACAAACAACTAGAAATTACAGTTTCTATGAATATTCTGTGTGAATGAGCTGAGATTTGCTGAACAAAACTGAAACTGAAATAGCAAAGTTAAGGAAAGACTAGCTAAAAGGAGCAAAACAGTAGCTAAAACCAGAGCTAGAAGTTGCAAAAAAATAAAAATTAAAGCAGAAAAACATTAACTAAAACCTAAAAGCAGTTAAATACTATGTATGTTAAAACCCCAAACTAGCTGATAGTTATGTAAAAGTAGCAAAAGGCTAGCTATAACCTTAACATAGCAGAATGGTAGCCACAATAAAAAAAATAGCAAATGATTAGCTAACATCTAAAACAGGGTTTCCAAGCTTTTGGGTTCCGGGACCCCCTCCTAACTCTCATGTTTATGAAATAATTGTCTTCAATTTGTCTCTTTAATGTAATGGAAATATCTGTGTAACATAAGTACTTAAGACTTGTTCTTTAATAGTGTTAATACAACATTTATACTTTTAAACACGGAGTATTTTTCATTCAAGACACATTTACTGGTAATTAACAAAATATTTAATTTCAGCTTCCAAAGATTTCAGTTTTGAGAACATTGACAGCATCAAACATCATTTTAAAACTTTATTCACATCATGAACAGAATAAATGTATCGCCACTTCTATTACAGGAAACTCTTTACATCAAACTGAACAGAATCATAAAAGCAGCAGTCAAACCAAGTCCCAGGGCTTCATTCGTCAGCGGATCCATGCCGGAACGCAAACAGCGGGTGGGGGTCTGTGGGTCCACCCCCAGAAAATCTTGAATAAAGTAGATGTGACTTCCTGCATTTTGTTGTATTGTAATGGCTTCTTAAACATCTACCTGCTTGTAAAAATAAATTAAATAAACTTAATTTTTGGGAGGACCCCCAAGCACCGGCCCGCGGACCCCCGGAGGTCCGGGGACCCCAGTTTGAGAACCTCTGGCCTAAAAGATGCAAAGAAGACAAAGAAGATGAATCTGAAACAGAATGATGTCGACGGAACAGAAGAGATGCAGAACAACTACTCGTGTGAGGGGGTTATTTCAGGGCTAGATTAAATTTACTATGACTATTTTAACCATTACCACCTTAATTATGTAAAATTATGAAGTTATTTTGACAGGAATGACAAAGTATCCTGGTTAAATTTGATCAGACTGAGCTTTGCAAAGCACCAGATGGCAGCACAAGATTCAAGAGCTGCAGCACCTCCTGAAAACCATAAAGAAGAATCTAACCGGTGCATCTGAGAGAAATAACCAAATGTGTTCATAAGATCACCAGTTTGCAAACTTGACATTCCTTTCAGCGATGCACGAGGAACTCAATGAAAGGGAACAGAAAAAAGTCTGATTATAGCTGAATGTATTGTGGCTTAAACAGCTCCATAGTTTAAAGATATATGCAAATGCATGTTTATTTTTTTTAAGAATAACTTAAACTTAAAATGAAACATAAAGAAAATAAAAAAAGCACAATGAAAAATGTCTGTTTGTCCTCTGTTGAAGTTGTTCAGGTATAAAACATCTCGATCCAAGTGCAAGTCGCATCATTTATCCACCAGACGAGCACATTAAATGTGAACTTCACATCTTGGATCCCATTCTTTACTATTTTAAAAGTTCCCAGAAGAAAAGTCTTCCTGTGCATGAAACGGAGTTTCCACTAGATGGCCTCAGTAAACTGTTTGAGTCTGTTTTCTTGTATAGTCTGAGCCTGAACATTCAGATTGTACCAGACCAAACCTTTTATATAAAAACTACTCGACATGGTGACAAATCTGCATGACATATATCGTAAAACAAATCCTATTGCTCTGTTGGAAACATTGGAAGACTGGAAATGTGCAGAGGAACCTGCCAACACATACATGTACATACATCCTGGTGCATGGTCAACATGTAAATATATTGCTTGTTTAAATCAAACCCAGTACGTTCAGTGAAACTATACTCCGGCTCTTTGCTTCTAAAGTGTCACATTTTCCTCTTCTTGGCTTTCTGGAACTGGTTCCATGCTCCACGGACTGGATTCCTGATGGTCAGAACAATTTGCATATTTATAGAACTGCTCGGGTTTTTACAGACTTTCTTGTGCTTGTGAGAAACCCAGTAGGAATTTCCTGCCATTTTGCTGCGTTCCTCTCGTGGAGATGGCATCAGCCTGGCTGCTGGCCCAGAGTCTGCAGAGCACAACAGATAACAGCGAGCCTTGGGCCTCTGTCAGAAACCCTGCTGCATTGTTCCAGCTCCCGAACCGACTGACCCGAGTCACTGCCGCCTGCTTTGTGACACACAGCGCTGCATGATGCACGTGTTATTCCCCTTAAACTGTTGTGATCATCTTGTTCAGAGACATGATGTTTTCACTTGGAACGTGCACCACGTTATCTCATGCGTTATCGTTGTCTTGTACAGGATACCTTGAAAAGCAGTGATGGGTTCAAAAATATGCCAGAAAAGAAAAATGACATTTTAATCTGTGATAAACTCTGTGCTCATTTCCTCACCTGCCGAGCAGCACTCACACATTTTAGTTGTACCTGAGACTAAACCTTTCTGTTTGCAAAAATAACAACATGTGAAGATGTGAGGCTTTTTATCGCACACGACCAACAATCCCCCAAGATACAAAGGTTTCAGAAAAAAGCTCGGAGTGGATCAGTCAGGGCTCAGAGTATGAATTGGGAAAGATTCCCAGCTACTACCACAGCAAGTTTTTAGCTAAATATAAAAAAATTAAAAACAGGAGCAGGATAACCAGTTTACTGGGAGAAACCGCTGCTCCTCCACATTGAGAGGAGTCAGTTGAGGTGGTTCGAGCATCTAAGGATGCTCCATGGGCGCCTCCCTAGAGAGGGGCGTCGGGCATGTCTGACTGGGAGGAGACCCCGGGGAAGACCCAGGACACGCTGGAAAGACCATGTCCCTCAGTTGGTCTGGGAACGTCTTGGAGTCCTCCCAGAAGAGCTGGAAGAGGCTGTGGAGAGAGATGTCTGGACCTCCCTGCTCAAGATGCTGCCCCCGAGACCTGATCTAGAACAAGAGGAAGAGGATGGATGGATGGATGGATGGATGGATGGACGGACGGATGGATGGATGGATGGATGACAAAACTTTAAGTTTATGCCGTTTCTGTCTTTGTTAAGGTTGCTCAACTGTGGCGGCCATCTTTAAAGGGACTAACTCCAAAACTAAACTAGAAAAATTACATTTCCTATGAAAATGCTGTGAGAATGATTATTGCTGAAGAACTTGCTAAAAAAACAGCTGAAATTGGCTAAGAACGTGCTGAAATGTAGCTGAAATGGAAGAATAAGCCTAAGATAGAAGAATAAAACAGAAAAAAAAACATATTTGCTGAATTAGGTTTAAATAAGCAGAAACGAGCATGAAAATTAGGAGATTACAGCAGCTAAAAAACTGAAATTAGCAAAAAATAAAATAAAAATATGAGGAGTAGCTGAAAAGGTAGAAAGAGGCTTAAACTACCAGAAGGAAGTGTAATGAGCTGAAAAGAGCTCAGAAAATGTGTAATCACCTGAAAAAGCTAAACTTAGCACAAAAGAGCTAAAATGTAGCTGAAATAGCAGAAAAAGCAGAAAGGAGCATAACAAGCTGAAATTAGCAGATATTAGTTAATTAGGTGGAAAGTAGCAGAAATCACCAAATACTTAAATTAATTTAAAAACAGCTGAAATTAACGTTAAAAAATGCTAGAAAAAAGTAGATGAAAAGGTAGAAAAAGTTTAAATTAGCCAAAGAAAGCAAAAAGAACATGTTTGCTTAAAGAAGCAAAAATGAGCACAAAAAGTGGAAATTATCTGAAAAAAGCTGAAATTAGCAAATAAAAACTGCTGAAAAGTAGCTAAAATGGCAGTAAGAAGCTTAAATTACCAGAAGGAAGTGGAGAGAGCACATTTTTTCTGAATTAGGCTGAAAAAAGTTGAAATGAGTGCAAAACATGTGGAAGTAGCAGAAAAAAATAAATTAACATAAAACAGCTATATAAGTAGCTGAAATAGCAGGAAAAAGCTGAAACTTGCTGAAGGGAGCATAACAAGCTGAGAATAGCAGAAAGAAGTTAGAAGAAGCATAAAAATGTTGTAGTTAAAAGAAAGAACCTGAAAGAAGCAAAAAAAAACAAAAAAAAACAGCTGAAATTAGATGAAATAACTTTTAATTTGCACAAGGAAGCTGAACAAAATGTGAAAGGAGCAGTAAAATGTTGTAAACAGATATAAAGATATGAAGGATGGAAAATGAGCTCAATTCCTTTTCTATGAGGAAAAAATGTCAGAAAAGGCTAAAAATTTCAAAAAGCTAAAGCGGCACCAATACCAAAAGTCATAACAGGATTGTCCTGAAAGAGCCGAACTTTCTGATTTATGATTTGTTGAAATATCTTGAAAACTGTGGGACGAGGATCGTATCAAAAAAATGTACGCTTCATAAGAATTCTATTATTTGTGAAGGTACATTTATTGTAAGTTTCTTGTGAGGTTCATTGAAATCTGCCTCTGGTTTACGAGCACTTTTATCGGCTGAGACGAGAATCGGCTCGTATAAATATTGAATCTGCCAGTTGAAAACCATCATACTTTCCACACTTCCTCTCTTTTAAGCCATAATGGTTTTACCAGAACAGCCGAAGGCCCGTGCGCTGCATGTGTACCAGCAAACACACTGTGCATTTCCCAGGCTCTCCGTTT